TTTATTAAGGATCCTGATGACACGAGCGTATTTATGAAACGAATTTCATTCAGGTAATTGATATCTGTTTGGTATTCGTCTCATTATCTTTTTGAATAATGCTGTTGATATCTTATTTGATTTATTTGCAAAGGTAACATATAGTAGCTGCTCAAAGATCCACTTTATTTAATGTGACTGTCAAGTAATTCAGTGGAACAAAGGGTATTTAGTAGTATGAGCATACCAAAAGGATGGCTAGTTGAAGCCCTATGAACGAAGCTTATTATACATGCAGCAAATAAATCTTTTAGGTGGTCAGATAAATATGATGGTATTAGGACTGTTCATTTTTACTATTGTTTAGTTAACCATATTGTTGTGGTGATTTCCTTATTATAGCCAACATTGATATTTTGCCAATACCCATCAGTTTCTTAAGTAAATCCTTGGTTATATCATTTTGCAGTACGTCATCTGTCAGAGAGTAACAGAAATCAAACTATAAAGCACACTTATGGAATATCAAAGCATCGTTTGAAAAATATATTAACTCAGAAAAATTGTGTGAAAAATTTTACCGAAACCTGAATTTCACTTCTTCCTAAGCAAAGTTTAAAGTAGCAACGTAGATTAAGTTACTCTATTGCTGTTTTGAAATTAACAAATATCTAAGTTAAGACAATTTTTCTGTCATAATCTGATTTGCTAAGCTACAGTAATATGTGGGCTAGGTCTGTCTGTATGTCTGTCTGTTTTTGACATAGAACTTTGCACTTATGTGCGGCATTTCAAGTCGCCACACTCCATGTAGCATACAAAGCAAGAGGAGAAATGCATAATAAAGACAGTAAACAGAGGTGTGAGATAAAGGTATAGGAATAACGAAGAACAAAACAGTTTCATTGGAAATCATAAGTCACAAGGAGTGGATGCATCTGCACCAGCCATTGAGAACGATTTTGAGCCATGTCACCAATTGTTTCCAACCATTGGTTTTTACCGTTCCGAGGACCCCAACCAGGAAGTCTACACCTTCCTACGTGGCTTAGACTAACTGTTGTGGATTTCATTGACTGGTGCCATGTTTTCGTTTGACCGCCGCTAGCTCTTTTCCAGCCTGACCCTATGTCAGCTAACATTGCCCGTCAGTCGAGGAAGGCGATGACTAGGCATATGTAACACATGTCCTAACCATCTCAGTCGATGTAATTTCACAGTTTCGTCCACTGATTTCCTTGCCTTACCTAGCACTCGACGCCTAACCTCAATATTGTTCACCCGATTATACCATTTCACAAGGGAGATAGAACGCAGACACCTATGATCAAAGACAGCTAATCTTTTCATGTCTTCTGCTCTCAATGGCCAGGTCTCACTCACAGCCATAAAGGAGGACGGAGCTGACTGATGAGCAGTACACACGCCCTTTGGTCGATAGTCGGATAGCACGTCTACGCCAGAGACGGCGTAAACTGGCGTATGCGAAACTAGCCCTCTGTATTCGTGCTGAGATTTCGTCATAGATCAACCCGTTGGGGCTGATGGTACTTCCCAAGTAAGTGAAGCGGTCAACGTGCTCTACCACTTCACTTCCTATTTCTAATCTAGGGGTCGGTGTAGTCCAATCCTGCAACATCATCTTACATTTTATAGGGGCGAATCGCATGCCAAATATACGAAGATTGTTGCTCAAGGTGTTCAGAAGGCTCTACACTCTGTGGGCTAGGACACAAAATAACATCTATTTATTTTTGTACCTGTTGAAAGTTTGATAATTAGAGGGAGTATAGAGGTGTAGTAATACACATCGTTATAGTGAATAATTTACCTGTTCGATTATAAAACGCTTAACGGCTAAAATTTAAAATAAAACTGAGTGGGTATTTTGATAAATGAAGAAATCTGGTGGCAGTTTTGTTGGAGGATTAGATGAATTTGTAGTGAGGAATGTGAATATATAATAAGTATATTAGGAGAGAATAGCAGACAGACACGACACACACATGGTAGACAGGAATAAATTAGACTGAAGAAAGATTTAAGTTTCGTTAATTTTGTCTTGGATAAGATGAACTAAGCTATTAGTATCTTTGTGGTCAGTTTTTTGGCTTCAGATTATGTATTACCAAGATAAACGTAAGTAAATGCCTTTCCTGAGGTTTGGTCTGGCTGTAAAATATATTGACACGAAATTCAAAGGCTGTGTAATGGGTAGATTAATGACTCTAAGTTTTCCTTTCCTCCAGTAAGCTGGTGCCTACTACTTAAATCAGTACGAAATATTTTTCCATAAACGTCCTTCATTCCTTGTTCTATAATAGTAGACTGACCAGAAAATGCATATCACATTGAACAATTAAACCGACATCTCCTTAACATTAAGATGCAGCAGCGAACAATTAACAAAAGTTGTTGGTAGGCAGTTACCATCGAATGTTTTTCTCATGTATCTTGTCAAGTGACTTCCAAGGACAGCTTTGAAAATGCAACTGCTAAAATTTGTGAGCAAATTCAAAATTTCGAAATTTTGTTAGGTGTTCATTTTTTTAGAACGTTTTCTTTTAATCCTCTAATTACTTTAGTAACACATTTTACAACAGATGAGTTCTATTAAGTTCTGGGAGAAATAAATCGAATTGCTCTGTATGTGCTTGCCAATATCAGTTACATGCCAAAATCATGCAGATTTTCTATAAAACTTTTGAAAGGATTCAACATTCTAGATCGAAAATTAGAAATCTCAAATTAGAAATTTGAGATTGGTTTAGAGAGATAATGATGAAAAATTTATTAAAGGACACCTTACAAACTGTAAATTCAAGAAATACGCAACCTCTAGTTAATGAAAATTTCAAAGACAGGGTTACACGTGTGAATTATAGTTTGCTTACTCCTGTGGGGCTTAGTGCACAAGCCTTACTGGAAAGAAATTATCTAGACGTGCGCAAAAGCAAATTTTAATGTTTCTGTTAGGACGATAAATTAGGTTGACCGGTAGCTCAGTTCTTGATCTCATTCTTCTTCCTCATCGTTCTGCTTCAACAAACAAGTCATTCAAAATGAGACTAAGCTGTCTCTGAAGATTTCTCCTGTATATCTGTAAACAGCCGAAGCTATCGCTTTATGTAAAGAGAAACAACCTTTACTATCCATTTTACTTCCCTGAACTAAAATTTTCATTGAAATGCCACCCAATAATTATGTATGTAATATTTATTTTTTTATAAACTCTGTACTTAAGAAAGTACTTTATTCATATTTTGAACCTCTTTCTGTTATGGAAAATATTTCTATTTTCAAGCGCCTACACTCTTAATGGCCATTTCTAAATGTTGTTCATCACTTATTTTTAGATTCCTTAAAACAGCCTGAACAAGGTTAATAATTGGTCACCTTCCTACCTGATATACAATCTAACATGTTTGGTTACCGAATGAAATTAATGCTTGACATTTGTTGGCATCTTCCATGACCTTTTAGAAACACTGCACAGCTTGGAAAATAAACGAAAATAGTACTTTTTAAGAAAGCACTTCCTACTGATTACTTCCAACTGTCTAACCGCAAACTGTAATGGATAAGATCCTAGCCAGAAGGTCACATCAAAACTCTGATACGTAATATGACTGCCAGCCAAACTGGGATCAGAAAACACAGGAAAAGAAGTAATCGTGGGTCTCGATGTGCTTGGTGAAATAAGTTAGAATGTAAAACTATATGCAAACTCTCCCACGTTTAATAGTTTGGTGTTTTGAAAGTGTGTACAGGCACAAGGACATGCACAAGATGGCATGTGTTTCAGCAGATTCACACACCAAAATCAAACAGACTTCATTTCGATCTCGCGAAGGTGGACATACAGTTTACTAGACACAAGATCGAGAAGTAGGTTCCCAACGCTACCTAGCTCAGGGAGTTCTGAAAATCAAGTTATAAGTCTTCAAAGAGACCCCTAATTCATGTTAAACTCATAGGAACTTGGGAGTAAAGCTAAAAAGAATTCCTTTAATGCAGTCATCAAGGAAAAGTGGGAGATACTAGGCAACATCTCCGAGGAAACCAACGAAGATAGGACTTCAGGTGAATGCAGAGAAGACAGAAGTAATAATGATAACAAACCAGTTACTATCAGCAGGCGGAATCTAAAGGAAGTTGTCTCTTTCACTTATTTCGGCAGCGTCGTTTCAAATACAGGCTGGCAGCATGTATGAGGATATCAGTTTCAGGATCGGAAAAGTAAGACAGGCATTATTTATTCTGAGATCAGTGAGGAAATCTGAGGCACTCAGAATAAAGAAGAACGTCCGAATTTTTTGACTTTAACGTCGAGTCAGTGCTTTGGTATAATTCAGAGACTTGTCGTGCGTGTTATGTCAACCATTTCGAGCAGGTTGAATACTTTCATCAAGAGGTGAGTTCGCTCAGTGATACTGAAGATCAGATGGCCTGCTGGCCAGAAAGGATAGACAATACGAAAATCTGGCAACCAACGAATCAACCAATGACTTATTACCCAATAAACATGCAAAAGAAGTGTAGATGAAGTGGACATAAGCTGAAAAGAGCTTTGACTGAGTTGAACCTGAATAAGAAACGACAAGTAAGGTATTCAGGGGGGTCATGGAGAAGTTGGTGTGAAGAGGTATTGAAGGCTGGAAAAGACTGCACAAAACAAAGTGGAATGATGATGTACTGCTGAAGCCCTATATACCACTAGGGGTATTATTTGAAAATGATCTTTATTGCATAAACATCGGTATAGTTGCAAACTCCATACTACTTTCAAAATATTTACCAAGTACTTTAAATTTACTCTATTTATAACTACAAGCCAAAGGCGTTTCAGTTATCTTTCAAATAAAGGTGCATTCTTTTATTAAACTGCTACAAAACAATATGATGAATGAGGCATCAGTGTTCGTATTGTAAAACAAATTCAACAATAATGTAAATACAAATCATGGCAAAGAAAGATTCAAATTTTTATAAAGAATGACAGTCTTTAAAATATCCGTCACTTAGGACTGGACGGATTTTGGATGTTTTTCTGTCGTTTTGATTGCTTGACGCCTGTTGCAAAACCAGACGCGAATAACCTCTCGATCATATGTTAAAGCTTTGGCCAATTCTGTCATTTCGGCTTCTAAAATGAAATTTTAAAAAGAACGATAGAATGAAGGATTTTTATCAAGTAATAGCACTAGAAAAAGATTAACAACCACTAATTGCAAACTATTTCATTAAGAACAAGTAGTTCAGTATTTCTATGGAATTTAACTGTCATACGAACAGAAATACATATGTTTATTAAGGAATATAAGTTTAATTCTTGAATATTGATGGGGCTATCATAATAAGGAACATTATATAAGAAAATTACGTACTATGCTGTGTCATCGATGCAATAAATAACTGATATGTAAACACAAAACAACAGATTATCCTTTCATGGATCATATGGTGGCCAAGGTCAGTTTGGAAATAAACCATAGATGGTTATACATCCTTCCATATTAGTTTGTTTATTAGGTATATCACACAGTGAAACAGTATTATTTACTGGATGACGTTTCAAACAAAATTTATTGTTCATAATCATATCAATTGTGATCACACGACTTTGACACTTGAGTTTTATAGCTTTCTTTGTTTTCTCCTATTTGTCGTAGGAGGAGTAGAATTTTCCAGATATCGGGGACAGGTGATGAATCATTCCTATTACATGTATTTGCAGTTGATTCGATAAACAAAGCTTCTGTTATCAATCTCTCCCTATACCCTGTGACATTAGATTTTAAAACTGTCATCCTATCCCATCCTATTGTATGGTTGTGTGTGACTGCATGTAGTGCTATAACTGAACTATTCTCTAGATTTCTTATCTTATTCGGGTCAACCAATCTTGATTTTGCTAAGTTTTTATGTTCAGCTAGTCTGACTGCCCCTGTTCTACTAGTTTGACCTATGTATATGACCTGACAATCATTGCAGGGTATTAGATAAACTAAATTGTTTTGTTTTAAAGGCTCTACAGGATCCTTTAGCCGACAAAGCTTGTTTCTAATTGAGTTTGTGGGTTTGAATGCCGTTTTTATTCCTGCCTTGTTTTGAATTCTGCGTAGGGCTTCCTAGGTTCCTTCTTTGTATGGAATTACTACTGATGATTTAGACTCTTTATTGTTGGTGTCGTCATCAATATTATTATTATTGTCACTATTATCATTATCATTATTATTGTTATTATCACTATCGCTATTATCATTATTTATTTTATTTTTACATTTCCTTACATATTTCCTGACTAATTTATCCGGGTAATTATTAAGTTTCAAGGCTTCTTTTATATGTATCAGTTCTTGGTTTAGATTTTCTTTGGTATTACTTAATTTTTGTGCTCTGTCATTTAAACATTTCACCAATCCTATTTTTACTGACATAGGATGGGATGATTGGAAGTCCAAATATCTGTTTGAGTGTGTGGGTTTTCTGTAAACACCAGTGTTTAACTTCCCATCTTCTTTCCTCTTTACGTTGCAATCTAACATTGGGAGCTCTCCTTCCTGATTTTCCAATTCATAAGTGAATTGAATTGAATAAAGCATAATTATATTTTAATAGTTTACACACAACGATAAGTTTTGTTATTGGTAATATTTCGAGCAAAATTGCTGCCCGTGTTCACAACACTGTTGGAATTGTTTGATTCACACATTTATGATTTGTACTCATATATATAGTTCATTATTTTTGCTCATTCAATTTTTTTTTTGTATTTGAGTTGTATTCCACGTTCATTCATGTTTTTGTATCCAGAATTATATTCCAAGTTGTTGACAGTTGTACTGCGTCACCCTTGTTACATGTATCCGGTGTGACTTTAATGAATATCGATTTTGTTATAAGTCTTTCTTTCCATTTGTTCATGTTAGTTTTTAGAATGCACACATTGTCCCAATCGATATTGTGTGTAAACTATTAGAATATAATTATACTTTATTTGATCTAATCCACAATGCTCAAACTTTTTACTGATATGAATTGAATTGCCTCAACCTTCGAGTTTATGTATTCGAAAAACCTATCTATATCTTGTGCTCTAAGTTATACATCCTAGGTTATACATCCTTTTTTCACTCTCACGTCACTGGCCATGTATATATAGATCATTGTTTTCTTTTTTTAAATTTACTGTTACTTTTCGTCTCTCATTGTTTCTTCTTGCTAAAGTACAGCGGGAAAGGAAACCAGGTAGTTGTTGTATACAATGATGGACCAGTGATTCCATGATCAACGCGTCCGTGTCCAACACGGTGTCCCTATTCAACCCAGCGTATTGAAAAATAGAAAAGTGGCGATATTATAACAATAACTTGTGGAGGAGAGTCACGGAACTTTCCCAGAAGACTTTTAAAAATTTCTAACAATATAAAAGTAAAATTTTCGGGCGCAATATTGACGCTTCATTTATTAATATCTTAGGCACTAATGGATTAGCCTCACATTTCCGAACTAAATGTAAAGTTCGATAACTTTATTGCTAATTATAGATTAGCACTTATAGCCAATGATTACTTTGAGCATGTCGGGGTTTTCATTCCCGTAAGTGTCACTACAAGTTTTTCTACTTCGAATGAGGAAGCAAACCCTTAGTTCAAAATTAAAAAAGTTTCTTTCCAGAATATTCAGGTCTTTCAAAGTTCGTTTTCTCTATGTTGTGTCAGACTTAGATGATGTGATGCCGATACATATATTAAGATAACACTTTCGAATCTCCTAAATCAATATCATTTCAGTCAAAATTATAGACAATAAGAATATCGCTATATGTGTTGCCCTAGTCACAAGCCTTTCCATAGTGAATGCCACTGTAGTCTAAACAGAATAAATTTGCATAAGTCTGCAGAGATAACTAATGCCAGGGAAGTTTATTTGGAAGAAGATGCCATGATAAACAGTTTATTGCTCACAGTCAAAGGTGAGAATTAAGTCAAAATGATTGGTTATCTTTCACGAAATTGTAATCAGTCTAAAATAGGTTAAATGGTAAAATTCCTTTCTTTCGAACGCAATCATGTTATCTAGCTTTTACATAGGCTAAATCGGTATGGTCAGTAAGACTTACAGTATTTTTTAAAAATGTGAAAATCAATATTATAAATATATATATATATATATATACTGACTTGTTGGGTAAGGATTCTTTTCCAGTTGGTGTAACAAACAGTTGAGCGCTCTGGTACTGAAACACGTTCGACGTTTCCGCTTTCTTGGTGGTCGGTGAATCAGTTGAGCACCAAACGAATCATTTGTACCATTAGTATGCATTGCTTCGGTTTCAGATAACCACCGTTCTAGGACTGGTTTCATTCGTTTAGCAGACTTTAGGGTCACATCAAGTTTTTCAAATCTAAAGCATATAAAAACAAATTATGCATGTTATAAACTAGTAGTAGTCTCACAGTAACACAAGCCAGTTTACGGACATAAAAGAATTGTTACAAATAAAGTATCTGTAATCACTGTAACTCTATAGTTCTCTATGTACAACCGCTTTCCCCCCAAAAGACAAAGAAAATGGAAGAGTATTTGTACGGAGAAAAAAAGCATCTTAAATGTTGTTTTCTGAATCCGTATTTTAAGAAGGAGAGCGTTACATCACAGAATGATCCTAAATGATAACCATTAAACAGGTAATAAGGAGGATTTCTTTCATAAAAAAACTACTAGTTTCTCAGTTGTTGGTATTAGATGGTTGGAGGCAATCGGCAGGAAGCCTTAGACCCAGGTTTCGTGCTAGTTGGCACTCATCAGCAAGGCGTATCTGCAACCTTGAAGGAACTGATGTCCCTTCTGAGATTCGAACCCGCGTCACCCAGTGCTGCAGTCAGAGACGTTACCACTGAGCTATTCAGGCTCGCGACTGACCTCCTGTAGCACTGTATTGGAATACTAGTTTCTCAGTTATACTATAGTCATGTAGAGTTTTGTATTTCAAAGTCAACTTTTCTTATAGTGTGAATCATTCTTCTTGTTGCCGTTGTGATGCATATCGTCGGTGGCACAGTGGTTAGGACTCTCGCCGACCATGCACATGGTCCGAGGTTCGATCCCCTGCCGGCGCACACCCGATATCTATGGTCGGCCTGAATTTGGGCTACCGATATCCATGCTGAAAATTCCATACTTGTACTGAAAATACGGTGTGGAATCAAGCTGTAAAATCAAAAAAAAAAAAACTTTCATAATATTGTTAGCCACGTTCCTGAAGTCAGGTAGATTATTCATCACAGGCGGAATGATTGTCAGTTTCAAATACAAAACGACATTGTATAAATGTTTTTATTTTTTCTGTGAAGTTTGATACTCGATCGTAAGATTTTCATCAGCAGTATCGGCGACAACTTCACTGTGAAGGGATAAAGAACACCAAACGATCTCCATTCTCATCTTCATTAACTAATATTTTCTATTATTTAACATGAGTTTTGGTCAGGGAGCATACAGTAAGTAGTTCAGCTTGAAACTCAACTTTTTATAAATTTACAAACAGTTGGTGAGTAAGAATATAGGTTTTTTAAATACTTATATTTCCCCAAAGTTGGGAAGAAGTATGATTTCGAAAGATATAATTATCTAAAGTTACTCCCTTCGTTAAAAAGTCTTTTATTTTAGAAATAACTGTTTGACTGAATGATTCTAGTAGCACATATTTCGAAAATTCAGTCACTGAGTTCTTGTGATGAATAGTTTAAATTTACTGCTTCAGAGTGAATTTGCAGATGACATGAGACCAGCATATTTTATTCATGAGGTTTGTCACTTATTTGCTTTTACATAGCAGCATCAGTTTTACAGAGAGAGTTCAGATACAACTTCCGGTTCTGTGTTTTTAGAGCTTTCCTTTCTGAATCAGTGAATTTTAACTTTTGGAACAACTATTCATTCTAAAAGGCGGGTTTGAGATTCTGGACAGAACCAGATACAAGGGAAGGTAGAATTGAAAACGTTGGGTTTTAGTGATGCTTCGATTAGTGTCATACTGGAAGTCTAACTGACATGAGCTGTAAGGAGAAATAAATCAAAAAGAGTCATTTACTGCTATCAAAGTTATCTGTTTCCAGCATACTAATCATACTAAATTAAACGTGATGAGGATAATTGTTGAGATGATAGATATTGGTAAAGTAGACATAATACTTACTGGCTGCTTTTTACTTTTGGGTAAGCCCTAAAAAAAATCTTACTTCTGGTAATAATGCAGACTGATGAGATGTGAATTTTCTCCATCTTATTGTCCAGCTCTGAGCGTCAATAGCTTAAATGCTTTTTAGTTTGGGGCGATTAGATGAACAATAGTAATACTTATGAATTAATCATAGCATAGTCTGTATTCGTAGCTTGAACATATTGTCATAGTGGCTAATCCATATAAGCTCACGGTTTGTCGTACAAAAATGATTGTTTTCGACTTGTAAATTATTTACTTCTTGATAATGGGTGGTTTAAAATGAAAACGGTTCTTAAGAATTCTTTCGGTCATCAATAATTTTGCTTAAAGGCTGTTGCAAACAGTTGCAATCTATTATTATTACAGCAACAGACATGGCATTATTAGTAGTTAATAGTAAATCTACGGCCATGACTTACCGGCAGATAGCACTTTGACTGTACGCAGGTCCTTCTTTTGCATTCAATGAAGCGCCTACTTGTGTTTGTGTTAAGCCTAAGCTAAGTCTACGTAATTTAAACAAATGTGCGAATTGATATATTTCTTCCAAATCTTCACTCAACGAAACGCCATCTTCTTTTTCTTGTATCATAGATTTTAGTCTTTGTGATTTTGACGAGGTGTGTATAGATTCATCATCCATTTGTTCATGTGAAGCGTTATCTAGGTCTGCCAAGTTTTCATTTAAAGTCGACGACAGTGACTCAGTTTCACTTTCAGAATCGTATGTTATTGATTGGTTATTCATTAGTAGACCATCCTTCGTATGTGATAAGGTAGATTCATCTTGGTTTAAACTTTCTTCACATTGATATTCTGGGTTCAAAACGGTATTGACATTATCTGGAAAACCGTAAATAATTAAATAAAAATAAGTGAGTTTCCCATCACAGTTTTCAAAAGTAATCATAATAAATATTTAGTCTCACTAAACTGCTGGTCACATCACTTTAATGAGATGAAGTAGACCTAATATTCAGTCTCTCTTTTGTAGCTTCCAAGTAAGCTGATTCTGAGTAGAGAGTGACATGTTATTCTAAGCAGATTTCATAACAAAGTTTTTGAATGCTAAGTACAAACGTATGTTTACCAGTAGTTATTAGATCTGAGTAAAAATCGTGAAATCACTAAACAACTTCAGACTGTTATTTTAACTATTTAATTGAATTTTAGATTTTCCCGTCGATTGATTGGACCGAAGTGCTCGGTCTCAGGTTGACATGTTGGCTTCTTGAGCAGATGCTTCGACGATGTCTGGGCATGTAATTATAGGTTAACTGGTGGATGGTGACTAGCAATGGAATCCAGGATGCTCATGTTCCTCGGTGGGAACATTATCACTCACTGAGAAATGCAGGTACATCCAGATGGCGAGTCGCAAATAAGAAGAAATGTGTTATTTTAACCGTCTACTAATCATAAATAATTATTACTAGTTGAACTATCAGTGTTGTGTACATTCACCTACTTAATATTTTAAATACTTGATTAGAAGAACTGCTCATTCTCCCTAATTCAATGAGTTAAGTTCAATAGAAGGTACGATCAACCCGGTCCATTTACAGAACCTGTTTTTACTTTTTTTATGTAATATAAATTTAAGTATTCTTCCTTAGAGTGGAAATAGTAATAATAAAGTCGTATTTTACCGAATTCACTAACATGTTCTGAAAAGGAACGTACTTTTCAATATTGTCATAATCACTCTAGCTTTCTTGCACAGGGGTCTCATCATACAGATGATTTTACCTAGGTTCCAACAAACACTGGTTTAAATTTGTATACAAAGTATATTAGTAGATATCTAAAATAAAACGAATATTAAAAGAAAAAGGCACAAACAGCCTTTTTCTTATGACTCAATATGGGAATATTTCGTTCATTGAAGAATATTAAAAGGTTTGGTAGTCTTCAGAGTTAAGTACTTGATAGAAACTGTGCGCAATTTAGAAGAGAGAGACCTAATTAATTCAAACTACTAATCTGAGAAATTGAGAAGGCTATTCGTATGATATATCAGCTACATTCCATTTAAAATATTTCTGTCTACATAATATCCAACATTTAAAATAAAAACTTTTAACACTATATAGTCTGATTTTAAAGTAGATGGTTTTTGTTGACGGGTTTATGTTTCATATTTAGTTCATGAGTACTGATGACTTGGCTGACAAAACAGTGACAACGTTCGCTTCTCAAATAAAATTTCTCTTTTTAGTATAGTCCATATATTAATTACACTATTTACGAGCCATAAAATCAATGCTAGTTTTTTTTTTTTAATTTTAATGGTTTGGATATTACCGGATGTATGGCATATTATAAAATACAGAAGAATGAAAATGAAATGAAAATGGTTATCATAGAGTATCTCAGCAACACTCTTGAAAGTAAGATCTGGAGAAGACGATTTTGAATCTTGCCGGTACCAAGTTTCTTATTCCATTATCAATCAGTGTCAGTCTGTTAATCCAGCGCTATCTGAGATAGTCATATCAAAAATCTTACGAGTGTTGGAAACAAATTTTTATCATGTAAAAATCCTTCAAACATTTGGAAACTTTTCAATAAACTTACAAGTAAAAAACAAATGTCTGTTGATGCTTATTCTGATGTTAATGCTTTAAACAAATCATTTATCATGAAACAAATTAATATGGTTGTGCCTGATGTACCTAGTCAACACAATGGTCATTTTCCGGGTTTTAAAGAAAAGGATGTACTATTATGTTTGAAATCTTTAAATCCAACACACAGCCTTGGTCCAGATGGTGTACCAGGCATTCTTCTTCAAAAGTGTGCAGACTTCTTGTGTCATCCTCTTAGTCAAATCTTTAATGCATCATTTAACAAGGAAACGGTACCTGCTGACTGGAAAGAAATCAAGGTTGTACCTGTACAGAAATCATCTTCTGGAGCAGGTATAAAGTTGAGACCGGTCGCTATAACACCTCCTTTTTTGAAAACGATGGAGAAACTTCTTTTGAACATTCTTAAACCTTCTTTAAAAGCTTTTAGTGACCCTAAGCAGTTTGCTTATAAGTGTGGAAGAAGCACATTAGATGCAGCCATTGTACTACACCACAATATTGTTTCCTGCCTTGATAAGGGTGACTATACTGCAGCTTTCGACTCTGTTCCTAGGACACTTTTATTAGGAAAGATGATTTCAGCACCAATAGAGTCCTGGGCAACTAGATGGCTGTCTTCTTATTTTAAGAATAGGAAACAGCATACTGTTTTGGCTGGAAAGCGCTCCACTTCTCAGCTAACTGAAAGTGGTGTGCCTCAAGGAGCAGTACTTTCTCCATTTCTTTTCTCTTTCTTTTTGCATGACCTTCCGAACTCACCCAAAGTTAACTTCATTAAGTATGCTGATGATCTGACCGTTTCTGTCCCTGTAGTTTCCACATTGGATTGTTCCCATATGAATGGCTTCTTAGCTGAAGTTAAGGATTGGTCTGGCTCAAATGGTCTTTAGCTAAATCCAACTAAATGTAATACTGTTGATTTCAGCTTGAGAAGTGAAAAAGATATGCATGGATTGATCTAATCTCATGATTGTTGTAATATTGATGGTACCATGATAGAGAGTAAGTCAAGTGTTTCTTATCTTGGCATCAGTTTCTCTTCAAACCTTTGCTGGTCGTCTCACATTCTTATAGTTTCTAAGAAAGTTTTCCGCCTGACTTATTACATAAAGAAGTTGAGGCACTCAGGTATAACCCAATCTCTTCTCATACAATTTATTAATTCATGTGTTTTGCCCATCATTCTTTATTGTTCTCCATTATTCTTCCCTGGGCTACTCAAGAAAGACTATATAATACTACGAAGAACACTGAAGGCTGTAAGCAGAGTCAGTGCTATCCCTTTGACCCAACTAACCGACACTGTTGTCAATAGGCATATGAATTCTTGTAAACACTTAGCTAAAGTTATCTTGTCTGATAGTGAACATCCTCTTTATTCACAATTGTTTCCTTGCATCTCTTCGGGTAAGACCAGAAGAAATTTCATAAACATTTATGCTCGTACTACAAAATATAAAAATTCGACAGTACCATATTTAGCACGAGTATTGTGTGAAGAGACAAATATCAGAAAAGAACTCTTACAACTTTTAAATCATTAACTAAACTATAAAATGTAATGATGCATATTATTGCATGTGTTATTTACAGTTTATTTATTATTCACTATGACCTAGCAGTGGTGTGATTTTGTTGGGTTTTATTTTTATTTTTCCTATTAACTATCAATATTTTAACTTTTTTATACATTTATATAATTATAAACAGAGCTAAACCATTGCAATATGTAAAAGAAACGCTGAAAATTCCATGCTGTAAATTGTTATTGTTGTGGAATAAAGTGAATTATTATTATTACTATTATGGTAAGAATTAAATCAAAATAATAGCTAGCTGAATTTACTTTAAGAATGATAGATATTTATGATATTTACTTACTTTTATTCAATAAGTTATCAATCTTCGTAACACTGGTTGGTATAGTTGGGAAGTCTGCTGAAAGCCAATCACTACATGAAACTTCTTTACTTGAATATTCTGTCTTGATCATCATCTGCCTCTGATGACTGTCAACTTCAAGGTGTTTCTGAAGCTCTTCAACAGATTTTATATTACTGTTTAAGTTGTTCTGTTGAACCAGTAGAAGGAAGTAGTGTAACCAATTCTCGTAAAATGTTTTATACGCTGATGTCGATTGGTTGGAGGTGTCATTCTCTTTGGTATGAAAGAATTTTGAGTTCGAGCATAGAAGTGATTCGCTTAGTGAACGTAATGCAGGATTGTAGGCTGGAGCTGCTACTGGAAAAGATGGAGCTTTATACATGCACAATTCCTGAGGAAATACAGTATTCAGAGTATTCAACGATAAAGGTTGTAGACAAGATGGTATTGATTGGTTGAAGGAATTTTTAATACCGTTGATATTCTCAGTCATACTTTTCGGTTCACTTATATTCCAAAAGCTAAATGAGAAATGTGCAAATGGTATTGTTTAAAAATTTTTAAAGCGTTTGAACATGATAATTCGAGTTTGTAGACAAAATGCGAACCAAATATTTAACACTGGTAATTCTCAGATATCTTTTCCCTTATAATGAAGTAGACTTAAATGCATCTCGGAAATGAGTTTGTATGATCGTCCACATGATTCTGTTGCTTCTAAAGACTAGACAGTCTCACCTTGACATGATTATGAACGATAAATTCCGCGCGGAATATTATCAGTAAATCATACTATATCGCTGTATTTTATTAGATAACAATATTCTATGATGGAATTGTCTTACATTTCTTTCGTTAATCTTGAAATTCTAGAAAAGCAGTTTAGTGCACATATTCTGGCAGTCCGATATCTAGTTAAGTAAACTGTAAGAAATTGGTGCTATGTGTATAATGAAATAAGAATATAAATTAAAAACGTTCTATGAGGTTAATTATAAATTAATGGCTTAAGCATTATCCCCCTAAAGTAGATTCTAATTCCATCTATCTTGATCTAATCTATACAAAGCAGGTATAGCTTGACATATAGAGCTGCATCCGACTACTGTCACAAACTTTACTTAAAAATGGTAAAAATAAGAAAGTGCAATATTGGGATTGACCATTGGGCTATCATCTTCTGTTTTAATGGCAAATTACTGTACTTGTTTTACTGCTTTTGAATTCATGATGATGTGTTCAAAACTCCGTATCATTTCTATCAAGATAGCACTAAAAAGAAGCTGTAGACAAGTACATACTCATTCGCTTTTTCGGACAAACACTTTCCACCTTAATTTTCAGCTCTTCTTTGTCTTTATAGTTTCGCTTCTTGATTACTTTCAAGATATCCTGTTTATTATATTGTGTTGTGGCCTAACCATTTGGTGTTTTTGCGTTCTGGAGATGGCTTCATCGCAACATTTTTCTTTGTCTTTCTGGACAGCATCTCCACTAAAGCTACAAATCCTCTCCATGAAGTAGATACTATGTTTATTAATACCTCTTAGTGACGCTAGAATGGTTACAGGGTCATCGTATGTAACAGACAGAGTTCTTCAGTAAATCCTATTTTTTTAAAAAATTTAATTATCTAATAACTGGTAAAAGTTGACATAAAATATATATTTGTTATGGGCTGAATTGAATTCATTCCGTATTATTCTGCACATGGGTCATAATCTTTTTAATAATTACAACCTTAAAAATTAAATAAGAGAAACTCTATATGTATCGAAGAGTTTCCAGCATATTTCTTTTCTACAAATTTCTTCGAAATTTTGTTACACATCTCTACATGTTTCAGGTTTCATTATTACTAACTGCTTAAACTGTTGACTTGCATAGAAATAATTCCGACAAAACAGGCACATCTTTGAGCGAGGTCTGTAGGTATAAGTTGAAAAAAAAACACAACTATACACACACACACACACAATTTTGTAGATTTTTGCAAAGTAGAATGCTGCAGTCATTTTGTTACTTGTGTTACCATACTACAAGTATCTAACATACCCTGTACTTACTTGTATAGATGCGATTTCAGAATTCTACCAGATGCTCATTTTGTGCTAACTGAAATCATCTGGTTTGTAATACACAGAGGAAAATATTTTACACCAGTTTGTTTTGCCTAAGTTATATTTTACCCGTATTACAGATTTTCATCAGACTAGTAAAATATGAATCTTTCTGTAGATATAGGTCGAAAAAGATACTTAAATCATTTTCTAACCGTGAATGGATATAAATGGAATATTTACACAACTTAATAGATGAATTAGTTGTTTTTTTGTTTTTTTTTCAAGTGAAACAAGAGAAAATGAGTAAGTTACATCCTTTGTCAAGAATATCCAGTGTTGGGTTGAAGTTTAAAGTAAGTAAGGCTTTGGTAAAATTATTATTATTATTTTAAGAGTTGATGTTTTTATTAGAAAATGACATTGTATAAAGAGGTGCTAGCTCTTATTTCCGGTACTTCTGTAATAATATGAATTTAGATACCTTCCTTTCTAGTTGGTATCTGTAATACTCTAGAGTAAAACCGTTCCATAGTGATGTAAGGAGAAAAATGGAGCCATCGGAAACATTATTTAGGTTTTGTTGAAACACTGTAAATTATCTATCCTGTAACCTACAGCTTTTGCCATCGGTATCGGAAGAAATTGCCAAGAAGTTCAAAATAGTGACAGTATTTGTCACAAAATCGTGGAATATATTTTTAAACTCGGCTGAATGAAAAACATTTTTTTATTCCTTCACTTTCCCAGTGGAACATAGGGCTTCAAGCTGGAGGCTTGAAGTTTTTGTAGCAGTGTTTATTTTACATGATAGTCTCATACCCAACCTTTCCTGTTTACCAGCTTTATTTCTGGTTTAGCGAGGCAAAGGAGTGCGTCGGTCGGGGATCGAACCCTGGACCATGTGCATGGTCGGTGAGCATCCTAACCGCTGTGCCACTGACGCACACTTGCCGGTAAACACAAAAAAAGAGATACGAGGACTTCATAGAAGTGAAAGACCCTCTATAGGGTGTGGTGTTCATGTAATTTCATTGTGTTGGACGTGTGTTTCATTTCATTTAAGATTCCTCAATAATAATTACCGAAAAGTCTTAATTTTGAAATTAAGGCACAACTGTTCTCCTGAATTTGAAGGTCCTCATTTCTAACCCAAAGCAGTCTTAGGCATAAACACCATATACAGATTAAAAAAAATTAAAGTTAACACGCAATTAGAACATACTTCAATTTCCCGCTTGCTTAAATGGTCACAACATAAATTCTCATCTGATTTTGTTTATCCATCTGGAAACCATGCAGTTTTAACAATAATTATGGAGTAATGAGGCTATACAGACATCTCTGACTATTCTCAATGATTGATTTTCATGCATTTTAGACTAGCACCTATGGTTATTCATCATAATTTAGATTTTCCGTTATCTTAATGTTGAATAAAATTATATATACGTGTTGAGTAGTTAGGTTCTTTTATGAGCTGAGACTGAGGGAACTAAATGTTAAAAAAATGTTGGCTAAGTATTCTCTATCATTATTTTAGAATAATACGAATTGAATATGGCTAATTAAACGTGATATTAGTTCATGCATCAATCCAATATCACGTAATTCGCATTCTACTTCGTAGATGTGATTTAAAATTATAGAATAGATGAGTCCCATACAACTTCGTACACTTGCATCTTAAGTAACTTGAATTACTTTTCTCATGCAATTTAAGGGATAGTGAGAAAATCTATGCTTATTCAGCTTTCGTTATAATTTGACGCATAATTACTGAATAGCATAAAGGTCTACAGAGGAGGAATCTCAGTTTTAAACTGAAAATAGTATCTTTCAAAGATTTGTTGTTTCAATATAAAAAAAAACAAGTTGATTTCTTGACCAAAGCCTAGCCCCAAGAGCCACCGACCAACTTAGTGGAAAACTGCTGATAATGCAAGTTAGAAGATTTTTACATTATTGAAAACATTATTTGGTCAACAAAACTTTAGGCTTTGAAAATGTGGCTATCAACTTTGTTTTGAAATGACTATTCGTAATAAGTCAGTAGTTTGTCTTGTTTAAATTGTCTGAAAGGTTTTCCTCAAGACGATTAGATGTAAAAAGTTGTTTTCAATGGTTATTGAATTAGTTACACAATTTTCTAAGACAAGGAGAAAGATAGATTTCAAGATAATTGTATCATATTACTGGGAAGATGGATGCTATTTGATAAGCTCATGGCATGATAAAATGCATTTCAAATTAATTCTTCAATATGACCTACCTTTGATTCTACTAAAAAAAAGGTAACTCCTCAGCTCTTGTCAAAATCATTAGTAAACTTAAAATGAATTTTTCTGGTAATTAAGAAATCATGATAATTTAAGCCATCACAAAGATACAATAAGAAGTGCTAAAATCGTTGACTTACCTAGTGAAACCGTTTTGCTGTATCTAAGCCTGTGTATTAATTATGTTTCACTTCGGTTATTAACATCATCTCTCCCTATGTACACTTCAATTACTATTTTATGTTGTGATAAGCAAACAAATGGATGCTTCATAATTACAGTCGGGCACACAACAGGTAAGGAAAAAGCAAGTCTCTTCCCCTTGACGAAATATTCTAATTATTACTATTATTATTATTATTCCTGGTGCATTATTTATTATCAGTAGCCTTTGATTTAGCGTGATTATGATACTACTGGGCAGTACAAATGAAAGTCTCCCCCTTATTTCATTTTATACATCCCTTCATGGTATTGTATTTTTTAACTTCTGTTGTTACTTCCCTATCGGATTGGTGGATGGTTAAATCGTTAATATAAGTAAGTTGAATTTGCTGGCACACTTTATCAGGCCGTTGAACAAATCTGTCTCTGACACAAAAATATTAGTTTTGAAGAAGAAAAATATTTGTGTGCATGTTGCTTGTTCTGCATAAGGAGGCATGGTATATATGTGTGTATATATCTTTGCAGACAAAAATTCTTGTATGCCTGTATTTGATTTGTGTCTATTAGGAAATCGAAATTCTGTGTATCTACCCGGAAATAAAGAAGTCAAAAATGGTGCAACCAACCAACTTAGTGTTTAACATGGGATTTCTCTCCCCTATTCCTAACCGATACAAAGACAAAGTACGATTGCTGAAAATATGGATTTCGAAATGTGTAATTTAAATGACGCTTTACAAGGAAGTTTAAACTCGAGGGGTAGGCATTATCGTAAACAGAAAAGAAATTAACAGAAAGTGTCTCAGTGCATCTAACATTCAGATCTCATAATGAGGAATGTTACATACGAGCCATTAGGAATGAGGTCTTTAGCTGTATTTTACCTTTTTAATCGTTATTAATTGTGGGGTAATATAACTTCCTAAATACTATAGAAGTTATAAATGTGAACAAAAGTTTTCACTTCCGGTGAATATTAATAACCAACACTGGTTGAAATTTCGTCTGTTAGTTTCGAGATGAATTTCAGAATTCGTTTCCTAATAAATTTGTTGGAGAGTAGTAATGCTAAGAACTTGCCATTGAAGACGATAGTTGACGTTGGGACTTTCAGGTTTATTTGTCTTTCTATTTAGCACTATGGAGACAAACTTACTGAGTAGTAGAAATTTGAGCCATCGCACTAATTCGTATGTATGGATTTTTCTTGCTGTCATTTGCTTACTTGTCGAAATAGCATGAATTGACGATTGTTGACTTTCTAAACAGTTAAAAATATTTTGCATTTGCTAGTAGAGACTGTGCTTTGTATTATATCATTTCAGTAGGTTGACTTCGTTTGACCGAATTTGATAAGAGATGAAGGATGAATTCGTAATGTATGTCTTCATTTGGATGTTGACTCTGAAGATATTTTCTAACAGTAAAAAGCTTCACAATTAAACGACTCATTTCACAGAACATGACAATACAAACGTTGCTCATACGAGACATAAGTCTCCATTATTTCAATATCTGTGCGTCGGTGGCACAGTGGTTAGGTCTCTCGCCGACCATGCACATGGTCCGGGGTTCGATCCCCTGCCGACGCACACCCGATATCTATGGTCGGCCTGCAAGATTTGGGCTACCGATATCCATGCTGAAAATTCCACACTTGTACTGAAAATACGGTGTGGCATCAAGCTGTATTCAAAATAAAAAATAAAATAAATAGATTTGTAATTAATTAGACGTAGCATCTGAGTGCGGAGAAGGTGTATCTACAGGTAACCCATGAGGAACTGGCAGCTAAGCTACTATTTTGAATGCCTCTAAAAAATAAATGCAACATAACATTCTCTTTATGTCACAGAATCCTCACACTGTGCCACACAGATGCCTCAAAGAGGTCCTAAAAATTTTCCGGTCGAAAATAACTATTCAGAATGATTCATCATAAAGATGATGAAGTCAAAACTGGATAAACCATCTCCACTCCTTGTTTAACTTAAACGAGTTTCCTAATCTCACAACTTAACGGTGTTAAGAAATCACCCATCCCGTGCAGTAAGGGAAACCTGTTATCTAGCTACTTTACGACTCATTTTCTTGAGGGAATTAATATTTTGATAATGTGGGTCCAAAAGTATTGTGAAAAAATTCCATCTTGGTTTTAGAAGGGATAGAAAAAATTTCGCGTTTCAGTCTTAGAATATTTAATTGATTCTGACCATCAAGTGAACCCGGAAAGTTACTTCAATATTATATATATATAGTCTACATAAGAATCTGTTGGAAACGATATGAACAAAGCCTCTTCATATTGCAGAACCTATGGCAATTAATATTTTGAAGCCTGAAAATTCCATTCAAAATAGTAGGACAATTTAGATTTTATCTTTGAAAATCCTTTAATAAACTTTGTCGCTATCATTTTGCATTTTTTTCTACCTTAAAGTTGACATTTTTCACTGCCGAACTTTTGTGTTACCTAACTGATTTGAATACCCTGAACTGACTTTTATGAAGAAATATTCCAAAATATGTTTTGTTACCAAGTCAGTTTATATATACATATATATATACATATATATATATATACATATATATATATATATATAACAGAATCATTCTTTGTTGAATATATTTGGTTTGGGCTATTTTGAAGCCTAATTTATACTGCTCTACATTTAAGCCTAACAAAATGCGCTTTTTAACACCAGAGTATCAACAGTTTCTGTACAAATGGTAGCACTTTATGATAAGCTTTTGAGGGTCTGTAACTGAATCTCCTCAGTCCGTAGTCTCTTAAGGATTAGGTTATAATGAAAAAAGAATTAGATAAACTGCACAAATGCATTTTCATATAGTCAACTATGAGTAACACTGACAGTATTTCAGGGGTTAAGTCACCTACAATTTCACTTAACATTGAATTAAGAGCTCGTCGACTCAGAGAATACAACCACATGAAAATAGTCCACCTGAGCTACAAACTACTTCAATAATTTCACGTAAAATTACTCCACAGACATATGAAAGTACATATGTAATAAGAAGTTTAGATTTTCAGTAACACTTTGAATTTCGCGGCAATATCGTTTTGCATGATTTCACATTTGAAAATTAGAATTCAGCACAATTTCTGAAGGAGATTATTGAAAGCACTATATTGATTATTTTATTTGTATGAACTGTATAGCCTGAGATGGTGCGACAATTGGATTCCTTCAGCAGTTGTGTTATTTATGCAACAAGGGTAAATTTGAAGTGGGTGTATATAATTGGAACTGCTTTACATGATATAAAAATTACTTCATGCATATTGAACGATCATGTTATTATTAAAAAAACAACTGATAAATTACTTTCAGATTGATCAGTCAAACTGTTTCATATTCTGCCTTCTTGTCGTATCGACTGTTTACACTAGTGAGTGATAAAACTATCTACGCAGTCCAGATGCTGTAAGATAAGCCACTACGTTATCATTATATAGATGTATGCGAAGGCGCATGTACCAACCGAAACTATTTTATAAAAACATGCAAGCGAAAAGCAACAAGTTAGCAAAAGAAGCATCAAAGATAGGATTTCAGGTGAACATAGATAAAACAGAGGTGATGAAAATTCCTGGGCAACACCATAAACAGCAACAACAACAACTGACAATCAGCATAAATGGGAGGAACCTGAAAGAAACAACCTCTTTTACCTACCTGGGAAGCATCGTTTCAACTACAGGTCGACGGAACTGACGAGGACATCAAAGCAAGGATCGGAAAAGCAAGACAAGCTTTCACTACTCTCAAGTCAGTGTGAAGGTCAACAGACAGCACTCAGCATCAAAAATAAGATCAGGATTTTCAACTCCAATGTGAAGTCAGTCAGTGCTACTATACGGATCAGAGACTTGCACTGCGCGTCATAAAGAGCATCTCAAACAAACTACAGACCTTCATTAACAGTTGTCTTCGCTCAATACTCAAGATCAGATGGCCGGCCAGAAAAGATCAGCAACAGAGATCTCTGGGAGGGAACCAACCAGGAACCGATTGTCAAACAAATAGGCAGGATGAAATGGAGATGGATTGGCCATACTCTGAGGAAACCATCAAGTGACATCACTAGACAAGCAATTGCTCGAGTGGAACCCGAAAGGGAAGCGGCGAGTTGGTCGTCAGTGCGAGGGTGACTTGGAGGAGGTGATGTGAAGAGGAGATGAAAACGTGTGGGCAGACTTGGAGCCAGGTGAAGACCCTAGCAGAGAACAGAACACAATGGAGACGCAGGGCTGAAGCCCTATGTTCCTGTAGGAATTAAAGGATACAATAATAATAATAAATAATATTTGGAGGAGCTATAATCGTGACGTGAAGCCTTACCACCATCAAGCATAGCTCATAGTAAACCTCTGCATGAACAATGTGAATGCTGAAATTGTTTTTTTTTTCATTTCGACTAAAAGAAATAACTATACATTACTTCTAACTTCGCCAATGAAAGTGTATGCTAAACTGGTCAGCAAATATATTCACTAAAAACAATTTCCCTGGCATTTTAAAAAGCCTGGTAAGCATCAGTAGATTGGTCTATTTTAGTTGAAGTTACATCATTTAATCCAGTTAAATTTCAGTCTTTATGTTTGACAATAATGGATTCTCTTCGTGACACAGAGGGAGATTTTGGCATTTGATTGTGTTTGGTTCTTCTTCAAACTTTAATTGATGGGTATTTGAGATTTTTTCTGGAGAAAGAGTATGATGAAACTACTAGGCATATTCTTATTAGGAATCTTTGAAATCAAGTGTACAATTAATATCTTATTTATCAGGATATTATTCTGCTATTATTGATTTATTTTATTGTAAAAGAATTTTCTTTTTGTACCCCTTCTGGGAACACCAGACAAACGCGATCCTCCACTTCCTGCTTATGTTCTTTTAGTAGTAATACTGCTTTCAAGTTTATCAATTAATAACAACACCTGTTAATTATAAGGTAATTTATTTGATAATCACTAACAATAATGATAAAACTTCACTCACTGGAAGTAGATACATTCATCTTAATTTTATACGCCTGAGTAATCAATGAGAGTTGAGTTTCCATCTTTTTTTCTATGATATCTGGGAAATAATTCTTTTATATTTATTCAACTTATACTGCTTTCTCTGCGGTGGTGACTTCATTTATCATATTCAAGCATTATTCATCCTCACAATATTGCAACTAATCCGTTCAATGTCCTTTTTAAAACTAAATTTTACTGTACTAGTGTTGGTTGGAAACAAACATTGTCAGTTAGGTCGACTGTTATTTTCCTAGAGTTTGATGTGATATTGAGATGAGTGATATTTATTAGCTTATAAGCTACCAGTCTAACAGTTACAGTCAAGTCGAGCTGTTCTTCTGCCTCTAAATTTACATTTATCATTGTCAATTAAGTCAGCGTTATTCGTATCTAGGTCTTTACCCAAATTAGACACAAACCTCATTAGTAAATTTTTGATATTTTATGAAGATGAAAAAACTATGAATTACTCTTCCATTAGGTTCACTTATACTTTTACCGGAGAGCTTTATTCCTGTTTATTGATGCTATATTTCCAATCATAAAAGTTTGTTAAAATAAAATGCTAATTAAATCTCTTCAAGAGTTGGTTCGTAAAGATTAAATTTGTTTTTATGAGTTTCACCACGGATTGATATCAGTTAGAGAACCATTGGAAAACCTGGGAGTACTCGACAGCTGTTTCATCCTAGTTTGGAAACCATCAGCACTAAGTGCCCACTGGGATTCGAGCCCAGGACCTTCCGTTTACAAGGCGAGCCCGTGTACCATTCAGCCACTGGGACCCGATTCAGTGGCCCATGAATTCTAACTTCTACCAATTCATGATGTAGCACGACCATTGAATCGGGTCCCAGTGGCTGAATGGTATACGTGCTCGCCTTGTAACCGGAAGGTCCTGGGTTCGAATCCCAGTGGGTGCGTACTGCCAATGATTCCCAAACTAGGATGAAACAGCAGCTGTCCAGTACTCCCTGGTTTTCAATGGTTCTCTAACTGATATCAGTCCGTGATCAACTCGTAAAACATAACTAACCCTTACAAACCAAACTATAGAAAATTAATCTGATGTTCGCTAGTGACTTGCTACAGGATAGAGAATCCTGGAGTTCTAGTGAGAAGTCGTGACCAGTGAGGTCCAATTAGATGTCACGTGTGTGAATGGATGTCCCACCAACGACAAT